TAAGGATTTGAAAACGATGTGACTGGGATAGATTCTGCTGCCGTTAAGCAAGACAGGAACAGGAGAGGAATTAGGAGTTGGAGCCTAGAGACCTAAGGCTGTCGGCGTGGAGGCAAAGGCTCCATAACACTGGTGGCAGGATGCACAGGGTCCAGAAGAGCGAGGAAGAAAGGAAACAGCGCAGCTCTGACCCCTCCAGGGTCCTTGCAGGAAACAGAGGGCGCACTCAGGTGCAAGTGTGAGGTTATTTAATGAGAGGACCATCCAAAGGTGTGAGCAGGACTAGGGAGAGGAGGATGTTGAGATGTCCAGGGATAAGGAAGACTGAAATGTTGCTATCACTTTGGGCTTAAGTGGGCCAAGGCTGCCCTGGAGCCAGGTCAACACTTGTGCTGAAGAGGAAAGAGGGGCTGGTGGGGCTGGAGTCGCAGGAGACCATTGCTGCAGGACAGGGGAGGAAATAGCCCAACCTCTCTCTCCTTCTATCCTCTTGTCTCCTGTTGCTTTCCACTGAGCTAAGTCAACCAGAAGCCAGAAGAGGATGGAGCCAGGGTGAGGCAGTCTCTAGGGGTCAGGTCTCCAGGGCTCCAAGAGAACAAAGAAGGATAGAGAGTGAACGTGGGGAGGGGACAAGGAGAGTGACCAGCACAACCCTTCCCACTCAATAGCCTATTCTTTCCCATGTTCCTGTAGCTAGGCACCTGTCAGCATCTATTTCTCTAAAATAGGTCATTGTCTGTGCCCATGACTAACCCAATGGAAAGACCAAGCCAGACAGGATGTATTGGTGTTTGTAAAGTTGTCAGTGAGGGGATGGGACTCTGGTCCCATCCTTACTCTGGTCCCAGCTACTTACCTGTCGTCCTTCGGTCCACAGGGGACTCATACCGAGCTAACACAGAGCTGTCCCAGGAGCAGGAGCAGCGTCTCAGGAACAACCTCATCTGAAGCCGTCACCACATGCTCCCAGCTGCTGCCCACACACCAGATACCTCAGCTTACTGGAGCCATGCCCTTCACCGAGCCCTGACGCAGAGAGAAAGGGGCCAGCGCCAAGAGGCACCGGGAACCCGCTCAGGAAGCCTTTAGATGGCAAGATCACCAAACCAGAATGCCACCGCTCCCTCGGGATGGCTCTGGGTCTGATCCCTGGGCGCCTCTGGTCTCTGGACTATGGCCTCCAGGCTTTGTTCAGCTGAGCTCCTCTCCTGCAAGGAGACCTGGTCTTCCCGGGATCTTGCCCTTGAGCTCCTGGTTTCTCCTGGTTCAGGAGTTACCAGTTCCCTAAGAATGGACTGTGGCCTGGCTCCCCAACTAAATGGTGCTTTGCAGATGTCTCGGAGGAGGGCCAAATACACAGGAGGAGGAGTCAGCTCTCTGCTAGGAGCTCTGAGCGACACAACTTGTGTCAAAGTCACACCTGGCAGAGAAGCTGGTGAATTGAGTCCCTCGCTTGATCTGTCCATACTTAGAACTCAGCTATCATGTTCTTCGACTCTGTTCTTTAGTGTCCTTATCTTTATCCTCCTGCATATATGGCTGTTTCTAATGTCCTTGGAGGCTTCGGCCTCAGGCATCCCCTTATCTCCTGATGGGCCCAAACCACCAGTTCCTGAGTGCTTGAGACAGGGCAGGTTTCACAGAAGTGGCCAGATACAGCCTTATTGCACAGCAGCAGCAAAGGCCCAAAAGAAAGATGACTGGGGCAATATGGACCCCATCTGCTGCCAGGGTCTCTGCCAGGGAAAAATACTTGTCATAAACCCAGCAGGCGAGATCACTGTGCATCTCAGGACTGGCCTAAATGTCGAGTCCCCCAGGTTTCTGGAGTGAACTTTCCACTGAATAAATTTTTAAAGTGGAAAGAACATCAGTCAAACAGGCCACTCATCTCTGCAGGAAAAAGAAGACAGGTCTAGTAGAGTGAAGGCTAGACTATGGGGAAGTCAGAAGGGGGAAGATTCAATTTAGTTAAGGATTAAACTTTAGGAAAGGCCACCATCTCTGTTCAATGTGGCTGTGATACGCTCTTGCTCAGGTGAGGTTAAGATCCTATGATCTTCTTGGATGTGATTCTTAATCCTGTCTCCACTTGGACACACTTGAGAGATGATCTTCACAGGTCTGACGCCCTCATGCCAATAAAGGTTGCTCACTATGGACTGCTAGAAAGCAAGGCTGGCTGTGATTCTTGGCAGTTCCCAGCACACAAACTCTACCCCTTTTCACTCCCGGTGACCTGGTTTCTTAAGATGTGTGGGGTACACGTGCTACTCACACATCCCCTGGAGGAGGGCATGGCAACCCACCCCAGCATTCTTGCCTGGAGAGTCCCACGGATAGAGGAGCCTGGAGGGCTGCAGTCCCTAGGGTCGCAAGGAGTCAGACATGACTGAAGCGACTTAGCACACACGCACACTCTGCTTCCCAGTTCCCTCCCTAGGCTCCATGGTAAATCATGGGCTGGAAAGGTTAGTGGAGGAGCAGTAGGAGGAAAGAAGGAAAAGTCCGAAGATGGTAAACTTTTACAACCAAGGCTGCAAGGCTGAAGTGAATGGTGGTAGATGGGGCAGAATTACCATGCTCCCAACCCCACACAGGAGAGCTGCCCCTCCTTAGGGAGTAGAAAGGGATATCCACCCTGGGGTATCCTCTGTGAATACAAAGAAGAGCTTTCTTCCTTCTTCTCTTTTACCTCCCCTCTTCTCAACTTCCTCGCTCCTTCCTTAGGCAGAGGGAGCGTTATACTTTGGCATGGCAGTTTAGGTAAACAAGGGGAGGACTGATTTCCTGTTGGATCCAGCAAACATCTCCCAAACAGTAACAACATTATAGTCACACATGCAGCTAATGGTCTGTGAAAGAATGTGTGGCTGGTGGGGGAGCGTGTGGTGACTGATGACTAGATTCCAGCACGGAGGTTACCCACAGCTTCTGGCTGGATCCGGTTTCCAAGAAGGCCAGAAAAAGCCGGCCGGCGGCCAGCCACCGGCTCTGCTCTCAGTGCCCACATCACACGTGTGATAGGTGCAGCCAGTTCTAATTCTTGGAAAAAGCTATATAAGGGTTGTGCTGTTACGCGTCTGAGTTGAAAGGGAAGGGCATGGGAAGATGTGGCTGGCATGAGTTGTAACTAAATGAAGAATGTTAACAGAATACCAACCACCAAATTCCAGACAGAACCAAAAATGTCCGAAGATTTTTCACCTTGGCTTTCTTCAGTCTCACAGAAATTGAAGTATTAGGAACTCAGCTTACCATTCAAATGCCTAATTTATTCCTATTCCACAAAGATATCTATGAGGAGTATACTGGAAATCAAAGGGGAATGTATCTTTCTGCTATAAATTCCAGGTAGTACTGGGATTCACAAGTTCAACATATCAGAAGCAATATACACACATAGCAGAGTACATTAGCTATCTTATCGAGTATCTAATAGAGCCAGTGGCAGTTGTAAGGAGCTCTCCAGTTAGCTGTGTGTGTGAAGGCATGGTGTGGATACAGCCAAGGATTTGGTCCCCTCTGGACAAGCACAAGTCTGTGCTGGGCCTGAGCAGGCCCTCTTAACTCCAGCCAGTGTATATTAATTTCCTCCACTGGAAAAACTACAACTAAAAAGCACATTTTTCTACTAATGGTAGAAACAAGGGCACTCCACACCTTGCAGTACTGGCTAAAAAAATCCTTTCTCTGGATCTACTTATAAAGATAAATCAAAGTTAGAGGCCAGTTTAAGTTACTGGCCACCAGTACATAGCATTAGAATGAGGATAAAAATAACATCTTGAAATTACGAGTTCTGTAAGAAAACTGAGTAATAAATAGGGGACTATACGTTGCCATTAACAATGCCCTTAAAAGCCAAAATGCTGCCAGAAAGGTGAAGCACCTCAAAGACAAGTGATAGGAATGATCACTCTTTTTTTTTTTACTGTCCAAGGTCACTCTCGGTCTTGAAGAATCAAAACAGAGCAAAGGTATACCTTAGAGGTACACTGTTTCAGTATGAAACCTGGCTAGTTTCCTACATTTCCTTTCAAATGCAGCCACAGTGTTCAAATAGACACGCCTCTGTCCTCTGAAGACAGAAAGCACGAGCTGCAAGGCCACACCAAAGAGAGGGGCGCTGGCCTAAGCGGTGCTGGGGCAGAGGGTCGGGAGCAGGGCTTAAGACTCCCCCAGACTTGGAATAGAGGCACTGACCGGGAACAAGGGACAGGCTCAGAACAGACCACGAGTGAGAGCAACAGTGCTGAGGAACTGTAAGAGGGCTCCAAGACCAGAATAGCAGCAGGATCGAGACCCCGAGGCCAGTGTCATTTGAGGAACCTTTGGACAGAGCTCCACTCCACCATCTTTGAGGCAATGCTAATAATCCATCATTGTCATGGGCACTGAATCATACAAAAATGAGGCTGCTGCCCTCGTTGAAAGCACAATGAGACACTGTTTCTTGCTACCTCAGCATCTGTCTAGCACTACCACCTCTTCAGTGTAGAACTACTTTCCCAAAACACTGAGAATGCAGATATGAGAAGGATAAAGCCTGAGCTGACAGCTCTGGCTTGTCCATGTCTTTTAGGAAATCTCTCAGTGCCCAGAGGTGTGTGTTTGATTCTGGCTGCTCTTCACTGTAATGGACGGTCTGGTGTGGCTTGCCAAATGCCTCTGGCACAGGCAAAGAAGACCATACCAAAAACACACTGTGTGCCAGATGGCTTCTGCAGGACGTCAGAATGGACGAAATGGCAAAAGCAAGAGGGGGCGGTGGGGATGTGTGAAGAGGACAGGAAGGGGAGAGAAGCTGCTATAAACCAATCCCAGGCGAGTATTTCTATAGTGTACTCTCGGGCACCAGATGATCAGCAGTCTACTCAGCAGGGTTCAGTTAAACCAACAGGTCCACCGAATCCCCGACAGCATTACAGGGGTGAAAATAAGGGGAGAACTGATCTCCCATTTCTTTGTGGGAATGACAAAACCGAACAACAGCTGAGTGATGTATATCACAAAATGAGCTTTAATGTCTCCCTCTTATAACATGATAGTGCTGTTTAAACCGGAACTGGCACCAGCTCCCAAGACTAGCTTCCTATGAGGAATGAAGCTGGCAAGCCCCTGGCTGCCATGCAGCTGGGGCAGCCCCAGGCACTTGGCTTAGTACAAGATCTGGAGTCCAAATGCCTACACTTGCTGCAGTTCACCCTCTTTGGGGTTCTGGAACCAGCAGTGTAGATTCTGTGAATATCGACTACACCAGATACGGGCCCACCTCTCTATATTAGCGGCTCCCTCCCCTCTGTCCCCCACCTGCCTCATCTGCCCCCCGCAATACTGCTGGTCTCAGCTTTGTGAGGTACTAAGAGCACCTTGCCTTTGCAGGGCCTAAATCTCCCATCGTCACAGGTTTGAATCCTCTGTTTTGCTTTCACGTAAAACATCTTGGAAGCATGGCTTGCCCTATCCAAAGGATTCTTGAAGTCACACACTCCAAGTTTCTCCCAAGCTGATGGCTTCCTTCCACGTCCAACACAGTAAGGCGATTCCAAAGAACTGCACGTAGGAGTGAAGACAAACAGGAGTTGATCTTCTTCTTATACCCAGTCAGCCCTTGTCTTGATCGCTTTATCTCTTTCTTTCATTAACATGCACATCTGCATGTACATAGAGGTCTGGAAAAATCCTCTGAAAACTGGAAGTACTTTCTGAATTCCTGGAATTATCCCTTTCATCAAGTGATGTTCAAACTGCAGACTGGTCTCTGCCTTCCCAGATGGCTTCCCGTTGCTTGGCTTCCAATCGTTTTCTCTCTGTAAATAAAAGCAGTGTTAAAAATAGTAGTATAACTTCACATAACCAGTAACTTTCCCTTAATCTGAATTACAAGGCAAATTTTAATCATGAAAATGGGTGGATTCCCTGGTTTTCTCTTACCTGATTCCAAGAGTTAATATTTTTAACTTTCCAAGTGCTTTGTAAGTTGAAACAGTGTTAGCACTACTATACAATAAAAAGAGAAAGGTCTGGGGCTAGTAGAAATTAAAAGCATATGGAATAAAAGTCAGAACCTAGGAGGATCCAGATTCTTATCTTGCTATTAAGGTATTTATTTTAGTTCTTCTCAACTGCATTAGTGCTTCAGTGAAACTGGCCATTATTCCCAGTCTACTGATCTTTATAAATATTTCAAAAGGGATCAAGAATATATTTTAATTTTTTTTTTCTACCTTCTTGCTCAAATGGAAACAGTAGCCACTGGGCTTTAGTAATATCTCTCTACTACAATCGTACAAAAAAATACTTCATAGGAAAATCAAATTTTAATGTTTTCAGAGTACTTTCAGGAGCCAGAAATCTTCTGGAATACCAATTCCAACATGGAAAAAAGACCACATATAATGAAGGGAAAATAAAAACTATTTCTAAAAACAAAAAAATGCACAAATCTGGGCAAACCATCTTCAAATTTTAACACAGAAGCTTGGTTTCCATTTAACATTTTCACCAAGACCTGAGACAGTGCATACCATACACGGTTTGGTGACCCAAGCGCTTCACTAAGTGCCACAATACCAGTTCTAATTTCATGGCTAGTCAGTCATTGATCCTGACACTATAAAATGTAGATAATTAAGCCTAAGTGCATCCTTCCAAGGGCAATTATTTCAGATAATGCCTGTAAAAGATTTTGCAAGTCATGAACCAAGGGGAATTACAGAAATCAAAGTGAGTTTAGAGTTAATATCAATACTTGCTATTTTTATGTATCTTTCCAAATTAGCAGAATACCTTACAAAAATTCTTATACTGTATTTGACAACTTTAAAGGCAAAGAACTTGATAAGGAAGCTGACTGGCACTTGGAAATGTGAGAAAGAGAAATTTGCTGCTATCTGGGCACCCTCTTGTGGCATTATCTGAAAATAGCAGCAAAATTACAAGAGGCAAATAATGGGGGTAGGCAACTTCCCAACTGAAGGCTAGTTAATTCAGAGTCCTGGACTCGGCTTCAAGGCAGGCTCAAACTGGGTTTGGATTCTCCAGGGAGACAGTTCTAAGGATATCTGGCCGATGCTGGTTCTGATCCTTAAAAACAGGGAAAAGTTAGGAGAGGATCTAAAGGCAAAGGCAACCCTGGACAACAACAAAAACTGGTCTGGGTTCCAAGAAGTGAAGAAACCAGACAAGTGAATTATTAGAACTTAGATATTTTAATAAGCTCAGAGAGGTAAGCCAGAATGGCAATGTGGGAGGTTATAAGAAACGAAATCCAGGAGCAGTAGAAAAACAGAATTTTGGCCCATAATTCACAATTTCAAAATCAAAGTAGCACTGGAGAAAAAAAAAAATGGTTTTTTAAAAAGCTTGGGACCAAAGTCCTTTAAGTATACTACAACCTGAAAGGTCATGAGGCTGCTTTATAGCCTTTACATGCCATCTGGTGTGACCAGTCAGTCTGTTACGGAAATATTAATGCTACTGGATTCGATTTTGGTGTTAGGAAACAGGTATTAAGATAAACATACTATCTTTCTAAAACTGGAGTAGTTTAGATTTCTGAAACATTTCCTATCCTAACGCTTTCTAACAAAAGACTGTAGATCTGTATTACCAAATATATGTAAATATAAGAGGAAATTCTGGTGGTAAACCACATGATAAAATCAGCAAGAATAGGGAGACAAATTGAGAAGCACAAAGAAACAGTAAAAATGTGAGGCTTAAATTTAGAAATACAGAACATGAACAGAATACATAAATACACGTTAGGATAAGACCTAAGTATATTTTCTTCATTTTAAAGGAGAAATGGAAGCTTGGAGGAGCCAAGTGACTTGCCTAAGGTTACATAATCAGTGAAAACCTGAAGCTGGAACCCAGGTCCTTGGTTCTTAAATCAGAATACTTTCCACTATCCTGACATCTGAAGACAGGATCTGAAAATATTTACACAGAAAAGAAAAAAAATGTGAAAAAAAAAATATGGTCAGAAAAGTAAAGAATAAACATGTTGCCTTTTACTAAAGGAGATAATAGCTGATAGACTGCATTTTTAAAAAAAGCTCCTATTAACTTTAATTCCACCAATTAAAAAAGTACACTAAGAGAAAGTCCAACAGCAGCCATGCAGGCATGGAACTAAAGAAGAAGAGAATATTAGTATGAAATGATTAACCCAAAGCCCTGAAGACTTTTATTTCTCAGTATATAAATAAATTGGCAGAAACAATTATATTAAATGAGTTCTCACTGAGGAAATGGAAAGTGCTGAAGATGAAAAAGGGGCCAGTTTGGCGTCATGTTTAAAACAATAAAGAAGAGAGATGGAAATTAAAACCTTCAAAATTTACTTCTACACCTAAGAAAACAATGAAAAATCATCACAAGATCTACTTGTAGCCACCTACAGAGTAAAAATTAACATGAAGACTTGAAATACAAGTCTAGTCAAACTAATCTAATTGCCTTCTTTTATGGATTGACAGACCTGGTAGATCAAGGAGAGCTAATATAAATAACCTCTGCATTTTAGCAAGTTTTAGATTTCAGGCTTACCAAGTATGTATATGATCATTAATACACGAGGAAGGAGTCTACCTCACATAAATGATAAGTGAGCATTTAACTCTAGAGGGTGGAATGGTTATCAATACATTAAGTATATACAAGCTATTTACTTAGCAATAATTGGTAAACAGGTCAGTCAGTCTGTAAACATTTTCATCTCTGATTAGGGCCACAGACCTAAGTTTATTAAAAGGCAGGTGACACCAAAAATATGGGTAAACACTGCATCCCAAAGAAAAAGACAGGAAATGAAGGGAACTTTACACGGAGGGAGAAAGGACACCAAGAAAATGCCGTTAAGACCTAGCCTACAAGTCAGCAATGCAGTGCTGTCCTTGAAGGCAGAATAACGGAATTGCTAAAAAGGATTTCAGAAGGCAATGATTGTGATTAGATTTTTATTACAATTGACTAGGTATCCTACAGAGATGATTTTACTTTTAAGTTCTTAGTGATTTCATTAATCAAACTAAGAGATCAAATTATTGTTTACTTACTCTGCCTCTCAGGCCTGTGCCCCAAAAGATGGCCTTTCAGAACCAGCCAATTAATCATCCTCCCCCAAGAGTAAAATGACACATAGTTATGAAACAAAATTATAGCCAGCTTTTAAAATGAGAGTAGCTTGTTCTGAGAACTCTGATTCCAACTTTAGATGGGAATTAAGTGTTCTGACAAGTGGAACATGGGGAAATTTTACATATATTCCTGAGTTTGGACTTTAAAATGTGGTTTTATCATTTACTGTGAATGATAAAAGATCACTGACAGATCATTCTGTCGTTTTTGAGACTGCACTCAAGTACTGCATTTTGGACTCTTTTGTTGACCATGATGGCTACTCCATTTCTTCTAAGGGATTCTTGCCCACAGTAGAAGATATAATGGTCACCTGAGTTAAATTCACCCATTCCAGTCCATTTTAGTTTACCAATTCCTAAAATGCTGATGTTCACTCTTGCCATCTCCTGTTTGACCACTTCCAATTTGCCTTGATTCATGGACCTAACATTCCAGGTTCCTATGCAATATTGCTCTTTACAGCATAGGACTTACTTCCATCACCAGTCACATCCACAACTGGATGCTGTTTTTGCTTTGGCTCCGTCTCTTCATTCTTTCTGGAGTTATTTCTCCACTGATCTCCAGTGGCATTTTGGGCACCTACTGACCTGGGGAATTCATCTTTCATTGTCCTAACTTCTTGGGTTTTCATACTGTTCATGGGGTTCTCAAGGCAAGAATACTGAAGTGGTTTGCCTTTCCCTTCTCCAAGACTACTTTAATTTCTTTTTTTAAGGATTAAGACAAATACTCTTCAATAAAATGGTAAGAAGACCAAAGTAGGGTAGAGGAAGTTATCAGGAAAGTATTTATACTTCAAAATCCCAAATTCCAAATTCATTAATTAGAAAGGTTCCATATGCAATGTTTAACTCTGGGTTTTATAAAGAAAATCATGGAGGACTTGAAAGGGTTCAGAGTAGAATCATGAGTGAAATAAGACTTGACGAAGAAAAACTAAAGTAACCAATGTCATTCATGTTAATGAATATGTAGCTGAGTATCTCTTTACAAACTAAGCACTGCGCCAGACAGCAGAACTCTTGAAGTGGGAAAAAGAGAGGTTATGAGTTTTTTTCCATAGTATTTTTAATGTGTGTGTGTGTGTGTGTGTGTGTGCGCGCACACACACACACACATGCACACGCATGCACACATGCACTCAGTCATGTCTGACTCTATGCAACCCCATGGACTGCAACCCGCTGATTCCTCTGTCCATGGAAGTTTTCAGGCAAGAATACTGGAGTAGGTTGTCATTTCCTACTCCAGGGGATCTTCCCGACCCAGAGACCAAACCCTCATCTCTTGTGTCTGCTGCACTGGCAGGCTGAGTCTTTACCACTGCACCATCTGGGAAGCCCCAGTAGTAATAACAAAAGTACCTATATCAGGATGGTACACAGATTTTGATTTCATACTAATTCTGATCGACCAGCAAATGGTCAAGTCAAAAGTCACCAAGAAAGAGTGTCCTGACTGAAGAGCACTGTCTGTCATGGATAATGAAAGGGGAGCAATAGCACACAGTACATATTTGTCATTACTGGCATGTATTATTATAATGAATATTAACTTCCCAAGTGTCACACAAACAACAGTATTCTAAATACATAAAGCACCTTTCTAAACGTTTTTATATATGTTAACTTACGTTGCTCAAAGAATTCTCCAAGGTTAGTTGAGTCAAGCACTGCTTTCACTGTGTGGGAAGCTGGGGCACAGGGACCTGCCCACAGCTACACAGCTAGTTAACGGCAAAAACTCTACTAATAGTCCAGAGCCTCTCACTCCTAAATGATCTGCCCTTGATCTTTATAGTTAAAAGCTGTTAGAACAGAATGGTGTACAGATGCTTCTGATTTCCAGTAAATACCTACGAAGAAACTTTTAAACTATTGTATAGATTTCTGTTAGACCTAAGGAAGAATTTTCTGATAAAAGCTCTTAACCACTGGAACAGGTAACTAAAAAGAAGCCTGTCATATTTTATTTTCTGAAGACCTTAAAAAATTTTTTTACTGGGAAAAAAAAATGTTAATTACCCCCAAAACTCCTTCAAAAGGGAATACAGTGTTGTAGAAGGAACATGGGTTTTAATTAGAGAGGCCTAGGTTCCAATACCACCTCTTAATTTACCAGTTGGGTATTTTATTGATATTTTACCTCTCTAAAACAGAGATAATATCATTCCCATCAAGAGTTAGCATAACATGTTATACAGCCAGGAACTTCCTTCAATCCTTTTAATTGCAAAAACCTTTTTGTGGCTTTTAATCTTAAAATCTTCAGAAGTGAAGAGAAGAAACAACTGCTTAAAATATCAGGTTCATATTTTCTTTCTTACTCAAGGCAGATATCTCTACCAGATTGTAGGTCTTAAGGAGAGGAACAAAATCCTGCTATCTCTCTAGTCTTCCTAATTAGGGAGCACAATGCCTTGCACAGGGACAGGTACTCAGTGAATGCCAAATGTAGTTGATAAAAGAGTATCAGAGGCAACTTAAAACAAAAAGATCAATGACAAGAAAAAAATATGTGCTGGACTCACCATAAAATGATATTGCTACTATTACTAAAAACAGCAGCAGCTAACATTCATCTATCATGGGCCTGTTTATACCTATTATAGGCCTAGAGAAACAGGAAGGAGGGTGTTTCTATGGGTTTTGAAAATGACTAAGTACCTTTTGTGGATTATCTCACTTGATTTCCATTTTATGGATGAGGAAACAGAGGCCTCCAGAGAATAAGTAATTTGCCCAAGGTGACACAGCCAGTAAATGGTAGAGCTTAGATATAGACCCAGGCAGTCTGATTCCATAGTCTTTATAATGTTATTTCTTGTGCTGTACTGACACCCTTCCCTCCAGTGGAAGATTTGGAACAAAAATATCTGTTCTATTTAATATCTAAAACAGTACTTTTCATTTCACAGAAAAAAATCTTTTAAGTGAGCGGTTTTATATTCCATGCAGGCAATTATTAGAGTATATGCTTAATGCCTAAGCAGCCAGAAAGCTATATTGGAATTTTCAACAGGCATTTTCTCAGATATAAAGAATGAGAGAGTTCTAAGACACAATAAAGGAAGAGTCCTCTATAACCTATTTAGTTTTAGCACCAATGGATAGGAGAAATTTATCACAACAAAAGGCTTCTTTAAAAAAGTAGGTACCAGGGTACCCACTTAGCCAAAAGCCTCATTTTTAACTGCATCACTGAAATGTCCTTTGTATAGTTGGGCACTTAAAATAAATTCAAGTGCGCCTGTATGACGATGGTCCTCCAGAGAAACAGTGGGGTATACAGGTGATAACCACACAAAACTATTGTTGCAGTACCTGTTGAAATACAGGTGACATTATACTCAAAGGGAAGCATGATACACTGCAAAAAGAATCACATCTCCTTTTATACATACCACAGTTATTACCCGCTACTGACTTTCTGAGATGACTGTGCTTATGACAGAGAAATCATTTTCCTCTAAGATAACCAATTAATAAAGGGTTAAGGACGATGCACATTCCACTTTAATCTAGTTCTGACAGTGCCACATATAAAAACCAGAGGGATCCTCCCCTGTTTCTATAATCTCAAGAAGTCTTTGAGTCAAGAATGCATGGGAAAAATCAAAACTGCCTCATTATAATCATTAAGGTTTCAAAAAATTAGTTGGGTTCAACTCTGAAACTCTAGCACCTGCCATGACATACTCTGTCACTGGTTATCTGGCCAGTGCAGCTGAGAGTCTGCAAGCTGCCTGCTATCACCAAAGCAGAGTGGACATGAAGTATTAATGGCCTTGTTAGACTGGCAATAAACAAGGAGTTTGAAATTTCAATTCGTTTAATGGAAAAATGAAGCTACTTTTCAGTAAGTGGAATTTTCAGAATAAACTGCCTTCAGATTCCACAGATCGTGGACTAAGGCAATTAGACTGTTTATAGTCTGAAGTTTGATAAAAAGTACTTAAGTGCAATGGGAGTCCCAAGCCTTTACATACAAACCAATAGCCTATAAAAAGGAGAAAGACATTTAACCTCAACTACAAACTATATGGAAAGAAAAACGCTGCTTGTGGATCAGTTGAAATATTTTCTGAGAACTCCTAAGTACTGGAAAATAGTAAGATTAGGCTAACCTAGATGTGCTGTAATGGAGCCACTCAGGACTGTCTTTAAAGAAAAAAATTACATCTTAGAGTTATTATCACCAATGTCAGTTGCTGGCTTTTCCTTAATTTATCTTCTAAGATCTAAACCATTTGATAAAATCATGGCAATCATGGCCTAGTAAAACCACAGCAAATACTGTTTTCTGCCTGGGAGATTACTATGATTTCATAGGAAAATTTTTCTGAGAGTTGGGAGTAAGAACTACAGAAACAGCCATGGATGAGCTAAAAAGACTGAACCTATCTTTGGAAAACAACAAAGGAGCATGGAGTAGGATACCCTGCTGTGTGGGACAGGCAGACATATTCCAACATGTCTTCCTCCTAAATATAAGTCAGGAAAACAACTTCAATATACGTGGGAGGCTTTGAGGAAATGGAAATGACAATATGGAATGAACTTCATTTTTTTTTAAACACATGCTTTATAGTGAGCTCTAACAGAACTAAAGAAGAATGCCATCAGCTTCAACTCACCTCGGGCTTCTCGCAGTTTCTTAAGCTCTGCTTCCCGTTCAGTTTTGCTCTGCTTACTTCGAACCCCAAGGGCACTGATGACTAGTCTTCTGGCTAGGGCTGCTGAAGTCTCAGGACGCTCCTTTGCTGGCTGGAGAAACTCTGAATGGGAGAAAAGGAGGGAGCAGGAGGGAGTAAGGAAGAGAAAGCATTCTAGCTCCAAGTGATTTAACTCAGTAATTAACATACAAAATAGACTAACAAGGGCTGCATCAGCAATAATTAATACAAGCCTGATAGATGAAGATCAGAAGAAATTAACACGGCAAAGCACAAACAACCCTGCCTTCATTATCTGTATTAACACAATTTCCTATAGTGACTCTATCAAACTGCTAACCACAGAGGTACACTGGATAAGGCTGTCATCAGAAAATGGTGACTGCAGTGGCTGCAGTTCACATTCCCCACTCCCTGCAAGTGGCTTCTCCAATGCTATATTTCCAACAGAGCCTTTTCTCTTTTTCCTTTTCCTTAAAAATATTTCTTTTAACACTAAAAATAAAAGTGTTATGTCTTTAGAACTCTGGATGCTATACAAGTGCTGGGGAAAAAAAACAAGAACATGACTATCAATAAGAAAAAGCTCCTGAGATTATAGGCTTACCAGCATAAGCTCTAGCTTTGGCCTTGGCTGCTCTTGTGGCCTGTGACAAGGGCCGGATCTTCACCATGGTATGTTTACTACCAAGAGCATCACGGGCTGCAAAAAGAATAAATATATATAAAGAAGTAGAAAACATGAAGATGAGTGATGCAAAATATATATATAGTTAAGGCTAGTTCTTAGAAAGTATTTCCTAGATGTTGTCCTTTATTTTTTCATCATGGGCAAAAGAAATGGTAAGCTCTAGAAAATCCATAAGGAACAATTCGGCAGTGATATTTTAAAATGGGGATTGGTAAACTATGACTTTGTGACCCAATCCAGCCAACCACCCCGTTTTTGTAAAGTTTTACTGCAACAGAGCCTCGCTCATTCGTTTGCACAGTGTCGAGGGATGCTGTCTTTCCTCAGCAGCAGAAACCTTATATCCTAAAATATCCACCATCTGGCTCTTTATAAAATAAGTTTGCAGACCCTTATTTTAGATGAATCGAACACGAATCAACATCTCTGATTTGTCTGAAAGTCTCTGCATCAGATCTATCCTGATACCGATGAAGAGGCCAAATTATACACTCAGAAAGTATGTATTACAAATGATCACTGACCAGGTTAAAGGGCTACTGCAAATTCATCTGTCAGTGGGGTTGGAGGCAGAACCACAAACATGTTAACATTTACTCATACTGGCTTCTTAAATCTTTACCTGTTTATGCACTATCATAACTGACAGTTATGCAGCAAATAACGAAAAGCTGACCATCTCTCCAAATACCACTGGATTAGGGTAAAAAGGGAGAGGGGGGAGCACCAAAGTAACCTGCCTCAAAAACCCTCTACCTGTCATTTATCTATAGTGACTAAATAAAATGCCAGGTGGCTGGAACAGAAAGCAAATAAGGAAAAGAAGCAGAAGAAAATGGACAATAAACACAGTGAAATCCACTGGGTGAGTACCTGTAATCGGACTGGAGAATACTCCTAGGGCATGTGTATCGTCCACCCATTTAATATCAAATCCTTTCTTTCTGCAACAAAATAAAAGAACTTTATTCCTTAAAATAAAACTTACTTTTAAAAAACATCTTTCAAATAGTATCTCATAAAACATTCCATGATGAGAGAAACACTCAACAAGCGCATGGGTGGAGTGGGGATAATGACACACAACGCAGCCTGGAGAACAGAAGCCACTGAATTTTAAAAGCAATAACACCACCATAAAGAACTGCCTGGGAGGATTTTACCTTGTCAGCCATTTTACAGACATCAACTAATTAATCCACACATGCTCCCTGGGGAGGTAAAGTGTTTATCACACTATTTACAAGAGGTGTTTTTAGGGGACTGGAGAAAGCAAGCCTAAGAGGAAAAGAAGAACCAGGGGAGGAGGAGGTGGGCAGAGAAGGTCACTTGGATTTAATGTAAATGTAGGCTCAAGGGCAGAGACTAGAGACAGAGAAGAAGAGGGAGACGGGTCATTCAAAACAAAATCAATCAAATAAGAGAAAAAAGAGATAACTATTATCAGGGAGGCTGACCTAATCTTTTTTTCCAGTTGTAGAAGGGAAGTAAGAAAGTAAAATTCAGGTTCTGCCACCTTGAGGCCATGGGCTGGTTTAATCTCTCTGTAAGCCAGGTTTGCTCATCTGTAAAAAATGGGTTGAATTCCTTCCTAACAGAGTTGCTGTGAAAATGGAAATGAGATAATCCATGACAAGGCAAAGGGCACGATGTTGAGCACTTAGTGGACATTTAATAAATCAGTGGTGCCCATTATTTTTTATTAATAATAATATTCATCAGGAAGATGATTAATATTAATGAAGATGTGATTAAAATACGAAGTTGACTCTGGTGTTTGACTCACAGCCTTTTGCACCATGACCTTTTCTTTTTTTTTTTTTAAATAAAGCACTATAAAGAACAAAAAAAAAAGACAACTGCTAAAGTATCTTTTCCCTTTAACTAGTCAAGAAAAAATTTCCTTTGAAAGAAAAAGGAATCAAGAGGCTTTGAAGGCTAGTTAGACAATTTCTTGATGTAAAAGTAAGTTCAACCATGGCATAAAATGACCACAGGAGTTGAAAACTATGAGAAAGTTCCACAGTAGAAGTCTATATTATACAATAGCTGACAAAAGATGGTAAAAAACTTAGATGGGCTCTAGAGGGCCTTTTAGACTTCAGAAGTTTATAACCCTTTAAAATGCTTCTCCCCTTTTGAAAATATTTTTGGGTTTGATAGAAAAAATGGTCTTGCAGATAAAATTAGGAAGAAATAGAGCAAAAGGAAGTTAATAATTCTTAAGAGTTAACTAATGTTCAGAAAATTCCAGACATCAACAAAATTAAATCCTTGGTTTTAAAAATCATCATTATTAGTGACAACTTCAGGTAGTTCTAATTTTGGATTTAATCTCACCAACTGCTTTTTAAAATCTACTATGCACTTCACCTGGTACAGACCCGATACTGGGTCTTACCATAACCGTAATGAATTTGACTGACCCATACTACATGTTTAGAGTAAGGTCTATGGCAGAGACTGTTAACTGTCCTCCAGGATCCAGTCACTGCTCCTTTCTTTTAGTTACATAACTGACAAGTGAGGTACCCAGCTGCTAGTTTTGCCTGTTCTAGAACTTTACAGAAAAACAGGGTTCTTGTTTTTGTACACAGAGTTTCAAGGAATACAGTCATGCTCATTTATTTACCTATTGTTTATGGCTATTTGTGTACAATGATGGCAGGAAAATACTATCTGACCTTAAAGGAAAAGTTGGGAGCTATACCCTAATTCTAGATGTACATGAACTGAATTTTAAGTTTAAATCTGTATATCAGACAATAGACCTGGCTTATCGTTAATGGCAGGATTATAGCATTAAAGAATAATCCCTTCTTGGTAATGACTTTCTTGAACATCCTGAAAAATCTTTTTCTTAATAACTTACTTTTGGGATTATTTCTTTTATTCCCAAAGCTTATGTTTTCTTATAAGATAAAGATAGAGATACACTTCTGACTCTACATATGTATGAAGTATATACATATATAAAAGGTAGTGCAACTATTCTCAAACCCATTTACATCAGTTTTATGTTTACTACATAATTTATTAAATAAAATTAAAACAATGAACTATGAGTATGAACATAAGAGTTGTATCTATAAAAACTTAATGCTTTGAAAGACTTGAGAAAGATGAAGTCACTAAAAACCCCCCAAAAAACTGTCATCAATTATGTTTGGGCAAAACAGTCTTTAAAAAAAAGGACAAGGGGATGGGGGAATTCCCTGGTGGTCCAGTGGTAAGGACACAGCACTTTCACTGCTGTGACCTGGCTTCAATCCCTGGTCAAGGAACTAAGGCCTTGCACTCAGACCCTGCAAGCCATGTGGTGCAGCCAAAAAAAAAAAAAAAATTATTTTAAAGGAGAGAAAATATTTTAATCTATAAGGAGTTTGCACTCAAGTGACTTTGAATGGATATCAGTTCTTGCTGGAAGTTGTAGGTGATATCAGGATGACATTAAGAACTCTTCTCTCAACAGACTAGTAATTTAAAAACAAAAAAAAAAGGCCTTGGCACCACATCAAACTCAATGGACATGAGTTTGAGCAAACTCCAGGAGACAGTGAAGGACAGGGAAGTCTGGTGTGCCATAGTCCATGGGGTTGCAAAGAGTCAGCCACAACTGAGTAACTGAACAACAACAACCACATCAAAGACTGGCAAGTAAGTGGACATTTATATGTACTGTTAAAATGAGCTGGCTGAGATATAACAATCACATTTTATCATTCTCTACTTGACTATTTCTATCTCAGTGGTCAGAATAACCTCAACTCAATAATTTAATTTACAGCCTTTTGGACTGTTAGGACCCTTGGTGCCTGGCAGAAGAAAACACATATTTTCTCAGGAGATAGTCTCTTCTTTTATTGCAGACCTCAATTCTCATAAATAAAATTCCAAAGGAAATGGCCAGCTTTATAGTTTAAAAAAAAAAAATAACGAAACCTCCAAAAAAAGCAAGGCACTATGAGTGAGAATTTGTAAAAATAGAATTAAAAGGACTTTAGGTAAAGGAATAACTAGACATAGACTATAGATGGTCTATGTTCACTATACTTAAAAAGAAATTTTTTAAATCTTGAAAATAGAGAAAAAAATGCAGATTTGAAAATTAGAGAACTTTGAAAAATAAGAAACATAAAATGAAATTTAAAAATTCAATGGACAAATTTAAAAGCAAATTAACCACAGTTGAAGAAATTAGAACTAAAGAAATTACTTAGCATATAAAAAAGACAAAGAAATGGAAAATATGATAGAGATAACATAAGGATTAAGTTAGGAGGTCTAAGCCACTTTCAACCAGCAGCATCATAGAGAATATAAAAGAGACTAGTACAGAGGCAACATTTGAAGAAATAATGTCTAGTGTTCTCCAAAACCAATGAAAAATATTTAGGAAGCCCAAATAATCTCAATAATGATAACAAAAGAAACACAAAGTCACATCATACTGAAAATGTACAATACCAAAGACAGAAAACATGAAGAGCACCCAAAGAGAAAAGACAGATTACACTCAGAAGCAATAGTCAGACTTTCAGTGGGCTTCTCATCCTACCCTAAGAAAGCCAGGAGAAAGCAGAATAAAATCTTCAAGTTCCTGAGAAAAATAATTGTTAACCTAGGATTCTATACCCAGCAAAAATGTCTTTCAAGAATGAAGTTGAAATAAAGCCATTAAGAAACAACAGTGATGATGACAACAAAATCCAACTGAACATGATACCAGCAGACTGTTAAAATTCTAAAGAACCTGTTCCATGCAGGAGGAAAAAGATTTCAGATGAATATGAGACACAAAAAGAACACAGAAAGCAGATGAATCTGAATGTTGACTATATATAAAAAAAATGTAACATCAAATGGAGTTTAAAAAGAAAAAAACTAAATCAAAAAGACTCAAACTACTAAATCTCAATAGTATACGAGTTGGAGTTTGGGAAGACACTGGAATGGAATTGGGGAATGGAGTTTAAAACCCTTCAAGTGTTTGAAAAGTGTGTAAAAGTATTAACCTTAGTCATTGGTAAATTAAACATGCATTTTATAATTTCTAAAGTAACCACCAAATAATAGAAATGGTATTATTCCCCAAAAATATGGAGTGAGAAAAAAATACCTCATCAATCCAAAAGAAGGCAAGATAGAAGAGAAAAAGATGGGACAAGTAAACACACAAAAAAAGATGGCAGGCAATACATCCAAATATATCAATAAATACAATAAATATAAATGGACTAAATGCACCATGGAGACAGATTACAAAGTCATTATTGATGATATTCTTCTTAAATGCTAAACTGGGATCTAGAAAGACTTCAGCATTTTTTTAAAGGAACTTAGAAGAGTGGTTTGATACAGATTTCCAATGGGCTTGGAATACACAATAACAAACTTGATGCTAAAGTAAATGACAGGGAATAGGAAAGCAAAAGAGATGATTTTTCAGAAGACATTTTAAGAAAATTTCATCCCACCTTCCCTAACATCCCCAATCAATTGCAAATACTTACTGATAAGCGCAAAAAATCCGTAGAAGATCTTCGGTACGAAATTCTTGGGGGAAGTCATAAATTTCAATGACATGTGGGAATTCACAATCACTGAGGTCAATATCAGGAACTTCATGGTTGTAATAATCAAATCTAGGTTCTTGGATACTTTCTCTGTTCTTCATATTCCCTGATAACTAGAGAGGAGGAAGCATACATGTGACTGTTATACCAAGCCAAAGCATTATAAAACATCCTCCCATATATAAACAATTCTCCCTTTTATCTCCATGTTTCTATTCCTTAGCCTTTACCATTTGTCTCTGTTCCAAACACAGTAATATCACCCAGTTTATATTATACATGTGGAATACTTGAAATCAAGTGCTGAAACTCCAGAAAAGACAAGCAATAAATGAAACTTAGCTTGCATCTATCAACAAGGTGTGAGAAAATGCAGAATGATTAATGCAGTGAGTTACAAACAACACATCTTAGAAACTGAATTGCAGAAAATAGTTCAAGAGATGAATTAATAACATTTGTTTTATTTGAGCTTATTGATCAGACCCATAGTTCCCTTTCTGAAAGTGAGCAAAAGCAAAACAAAATGTTTTAAGAATGAAAACACTTTGCTAGTCTACCTATTGTTGATGGTAGCTTACAAAGAAATTTGTTACGACAAATGTTAAGTGGCACAGGTAATTAAAGTTCCCCAGTGTTAGAGCTACCTAAAGGAATTCCCACACAGGTTAATAAAGAAAGTAACAGTAATGAAGAGCATTTAAAATTTTACTCTATGATTAAAAACTGAATGCTGTTAACTATTTCACACTGGAAGCAGGAGAATGGAAAGGGAAAAGTGAAAAGTGACAGCAAAGTAGCCATGACAGTCATTTTGTCATTCACCTAGACACTAGTACTGAACACCCAGAACCTTCAGGCTCAAAAGTGTATTCTGGTAATCAAAAGTCCAACTAGAGACCTTCAAGCATTCTTTCTTTTATACTGTACCTCCTTTCCCATCAAATGAGAAAATAAGAATCTACAATGCCAAGGATGCATCTCCTTTCCTCAGAGAAGTGAAAAATGGATTTAAAAATTTTATTCGGGAGGCAGGAAAGGAAAAAGGTGATTTAGGTAAAATCGATGAAAATGTTTATCTATTGCTGTGTCTCTAGTTCCTTTCCTCCACTAAGCTTCAGTTTTACGTCTTAAAAAAAGGACATAATAATAGCACCAATATCTTATAAGTAGGGGAGAAGACTAAATGAGATGATGCAGTAAGTACTTAGCATACTACTTAGCATCTAAGTATGAATTCAACCCAATTTAAACAAATTTTAACGAGGTGTTGAATCTATTGGGCTTCCCTGATAGCTCAGACAGTGAAGAATCCACCTACAATGCAGGAGACCTGGGTTTGATCCCTGGGTTGGGACGATCTCCTAGAGGAGGGCATGGCAACCCATTCCAGTATTCTTGCCTCAATCTATTATAGGCCAAGTACCATGTTATTTCCACCCTGCTTAGGATACAGAAAGCAGAAGAGAATATCCCTCATACCATAACAATAAGGAAAGACCAAACGATCTATACATATCATAGCTTTTCTTGAGTTTAGCATAGAGTTGACTGAATATGCAAGGAAACTGAAATCCACAGGATGACATGTCCCCCCAAAGAGAGAGAATACCTAAACTTTTTTCCCTCTGGCAGATCATGAGAAGTGGCCACCAAACAAGTGGGCAAGAAGATATCAGCTAAATGTTTAACAAGTTTTTAAGAGCCTAGAGTTGACAGTTTAGAATAACTCAGAGCCCCAAAAAGGGGGCTCCAGAAAGGAAGGGGGCCTGAAATTACTTGCAAGATCATCCTTATGCTAATGCCACACTGTCTTGATTACCATTGTTTCATAAGTTCTGAAATTAGGAGGCTTGAGTCTTCCTACTTTGATCATTTTCAGAACCATTTTGGCTATTCTGAGTCCCTCGCATTTCCATATGAATTTGAGGGTCAGTTTGCAGACAGAAGTGGGCCACAAGCGAAGGAAAGGAGGGCAGCAGTCTAAGAGAAGCTGAAAAAGGCAAGAAAACGGATTCTACGCTAGTCTCAAGAAAGGAACACAATCCTACCAATAACCTAATTTTAGTCCAGTGAGACCCATTTTGGACTTCTGACCTCAAGAACTGTAAGGCAATAAATCTGTGTTAAGACACTAGTTTGTGGTAATTGAAAACATCGGTGATACTGTATATGTATATATATAAAACATTTCTAGCTTTATGTCATGTCATCCCTTAAAATACGCTACATTCCAACCAAAAAGTAATACTATGCCTAAACAGGCATAAATACTATGCCTATGAGTGCACAACTGCACTCATTTCACACGCTAGCAAAGTAATGCTCAAAATTCTCCAAGCTAGGCTTCAACAGTATGTGAACCAAGAACTTCCAGATGTTCAAGCTGGATTGAGAAAAGGCAGAGGAACCAGAGATAAAATTGCCAACATCCTCTGGATCATAGAAAAGGCAAGAGAATTCCAGAAAAAGATCTATTTCTGCTTCACTGACTACGCTAAAAGCTTTTGACTGACTGTGTGGATCACAATAAACTGTGGAAAATTCTTAAAGAAGATGGGAATACCAGACCACCTTACTTGCCTCCTGAGAAACAGGGATGCAGGTCAAGGAGCAAGTTAGAACCAGCCATGGAACAACAAACTGGTTCAAAATTGGGAAAGAAGTATGTCAAGGCTGTATATTGTCACCCTGCTTATTTAACTTATATGCAGAGTACATACATCATGCAAAATGCCACACTGAATGAAGCACAAGCCAGAATCAAGACTGCCGGGAGAAATATCAATAACCTGAGATGTGCAGATGACACCACCCTTACGGCAGAAAGCAAAGAGGAACTAAAGAGCCTCTTGAAAAAGTGAAAGAGGAGAGTGAAAAGCCTGCTTCAAACTCAACATTCAAAAAATGAATATCATGGCATTCAGTCCCATCACTTCGTGGCAAAGAGATGGGGAAACAATGGAAATACTGACAGACTTTATTTTCTTGGGCTCCAAAATCACTGCAGATGGTGACTGCAGCCATGAAATTAAAAAATGCTTGCTCCTTGGAAGAAAGCCATGACAAACCTAGACAGTGTACTAAAGAGGAGAGATATTACTTTGCCAACAAAGGTCCTATAGTCAAAGCTTTTGTTTTTCCAGTGGTCATGTATGGATGTGAGAGTTGGACCATAAAGAAGGCTAAGTGCCAAAGAATTGATGCTTTTGAACTGTGGTGTTGGAGAAGACTCTTAATAGTCCCTTGGACTGCAAGATCAAACAGTCAACCCTAAAGGAAGTCAACCCTGAATGTTCACTGGAAGGACTGATGCTGAAGCTAAAGCTCCAGTACTTTGGCCACCTGATGTGAAGAACTGACTCACAGGAAAAGATCCTGATGCTGGGAAAGATTGAAGGCAGAAGGGGACGACAGAGGGTGAGATGGCTGGGTGGCATCAACGGACATGAGTTTGAGCAAGCTCTAGGAGATGGTAAAGGACAGGGAAGCCTGGCGTGCTGCAGTCCATGGGGTTGAAAAGAATTGGACATGACTGAGCGACTGAACAACAATATGCCTAAACACATCTTGCTTCTTTCTGCCTGTTGATTTGATCACATTATTTTTGATCACATGTATAATCTGACTCTTCCTCTATACTTCTATAGCATTTACCTCATCTGCATTACTTTTTTTTTTTTTTTGCTGTGCCATGCGGCATGCGGGATCTTAGCTTCCTGACCAGGGATTGAACCTGTGCTCCCTTAATCACTAGACCACAAGGGAAGCCCCATCATCTGCACTACTTTTATAGTACTCACTGCATAACAACTAATACTAATTAGACCTATCTCTTCCTCTAGCTTTAACCTCACTACCTAACCACCTATCCAACGAACATTTAATGTATGTTTAACATCACACTAGAGAAAGAACCTGAACAAAGAATTTTAATATGTAATAAAGTTATAAGAATGAAGAAGGTATTACCAGTGGGTAGAGGAGAATGAACATTGCTTACTCTTCTTCATTACCCAAGTAAAGAAATTATGCAGAGAAAAGTATCGTAGACAGAAGTGTGCAAAAGCATGCAAGGAGTGTAGCATTCATTAAACAGTTCAGTGTGGCCACACTGAATAATGGGAGGACTTCAGAGAGTGCTATGGGCTTCACTGTGTCCTCCCAAAATTATGAGTCAAAGTGATAAACCCTAATACCTTAGAATATAACTGTATTTAGAGATCATGTCTTTAAAGTGGTATTAAGTTAAAATAAAGTAGATCCTAATCTGAGTGGTGTCCTTATAAGAGGAAATTTGGACACAGACAGAGGGAAGATCATCTAAACCCAGCCATTTACAAACCAAGGAGAGGCCTCAGAAGAATCCAACCCTTGCTGACACCTTGATCTTGAACTTCTAGCCTCTAGAATTGTGAGAGAACAAATTTCTGTGGTACTTTGTCATGGCCAGTCAAGGGTTCTGTGCTCTGGCAGCCTTAACAAATTAATACAGGGAGTAAGGCTGGAGTTTCAGTTTCCTCATCAATATTCTGATTCTATAATACACCTACAAGGGACATGTCATATTCACCCCTACATACTCCCAACTGCACACATTAACCTGCACAAACTAGGCATTCAAAAAATACTTGTGGAATGAATACTTGAGGCACATGCCTCAAATTAATTACTCTGTCCAAATGCCTGCTTATCGAGACTGATTTTACATGGAGCCCTCATCAATAAGAATTTGATTTATGCAACATATATTTTTTAAATGATTTTGGATGGCATTTTGAAATTTGGGGTAAAATGACACTTGTTTTCTTTCCCTTTACCAGTAAACTTTAATTGTTCTGGTTATATAAATCATGCAAAGAATTCAACAAATTATAAAAGGAAGGCAACAACAACAAAATTTCTAAACAGATCATCTAGACTTCTGATAGTGACAAACTGAGGACCTAACTCTGGGAACATTCCACATTTTTTATAAGCTGCTTTCACAGCCTGGAATGCCTTGTCTGCTTCTGATCTTTCTTCTTCGAAGACCCAGCTTCAGTCTTCATCTCCTCTTAAAGCTTTTCCCATTGACCCCATTTTGATGGTTTCTCCACTCCTTATACTACTG